GTATGAAATCTTAAAACCTGATGGATGGAAAATATTATATCTATCAATCTAAACAAATAGGATTACAGAAAACTAGGTTTGAATCAACAACAAAATGATAAAACAATCACGTGATTAAGCCTCATGGTTTCTAAAATCTCTTATTAGCTTGTCAACCTAGAATGAAATTTTGTCTTAGCAACTATGCTATCAATGGCGTGCAATAACGGTGCAATAGCGTTTTACGGTGTTACTGAACCATATTTTGAAATAGTGTTTACGAATAGTGGTGACGCTATTAGCGACGATGTTGATCGCTATTTATTGCGAACTTCATCAACGCTATAGTGACGCTACACCCGTTTGCTATAGTTTCGTATATATTAGGTTACTTTGACAAAGAAAAAAACCATTGTGTGTTATTTCAATATTAAAATTTTATTTTTTTTAACTAGTCCACTATACTTTTTGTCTTAATAAGTTCAAATAATAAATATAATTAATTACAAACTACAATGCAACAAATGATAACTTCCCTTTCTCATCTGTTTTAGTACTTAGAAACCACGAACGATTTGAGTTGCGATGGCATTTTGACACTTTTTAGTTTCTATATTACTATATTAGAATATTATATATAGATTATGTTATGTTTTTATATGATTTTTTATGTATTAATTCTATATAGTATTAATAATCTAATATATATATTTTTTATAAATATATAATATAAATTAAACATAATAATAAAAAACCGTTATACCACTGCGATAACCGCGACTTCAAATAGCGGCATGTGACCGCTATTGAAATTTCGACTGCAATAACTGCTTAGCTTAGCAGTGCAGATGTTGTCCCTAAAAAACAAACAAAATCAATGCATACCATGATAGATAAAAGAAATGGAATTTTTAGGCCATCTGGTTATTAATTTATGAATTCATGAGATTAAATATAAAAGGTTGCATAGAAAAGTATCATTATAAAACAATACAACAAACTGTAAATTTATTACACTATTACTATTACCTTTGCATCGAAACTGTTCATAAATGCCTCCAGTGATCGGTAACATATCTTACTTGATTCCCAATGTCTTCTTCATTTCTAAGTAACGACGCAAAAATTAATTGATTATTAATAAAAGTCACCCTAATTAAAAGTTGAAATAAGAATTAATAATGAAATTTGGAAAACTCAAATTCCTTCTCAACCCGAATTACACATTTTTGTGCTTATGTCCATGGCAATAAGTATTTAGTCCAACACTTTAACTGCATTCATATATAAAAAGGATCAAGAATGAAGAAATAGAGACAAAGCTTTTAATGGGATCTCAACCAAATCTAGAATGGAGAAGTGAAGAAGTTTTAACTTGGAGCTTTATTATGTCACTTTCTAATGTCACAGGGCTCCCCGTTCATTCTTTTTCTTTGAACTGCATTTTTCTATGATGAAAGCTTCTCTCATTCTGTTTGTTCGAGTTAAATATTAGCAACGAAAATGTGCTCTTCTCGACGTCGCCACAAACTCTTTCTGTTGTCGTTTCTCCTAAAGAAGATGAAGGAAAAACTCAGTTACCTATGTTGACTAAAGAATAGAAAATTCAACATCCTAAAATAAAAATTAAAGAATCAATACATTTAGTGTATACTTACTTTTACTTCTACAATCGAAACAAAAATAGGTCACTTTGATCAAAAATAGAGATACCTAGAGATATCTGGAAGCGTGGAAGCTGAAATTTATGAAGGTTACCCCAAAGGCCACTTTGAGTTTTTGTAATCAGGGCAAATAACAATCCATCTCCATCACTACCCCCTAAAAGTAAATAGGGAAAATAAACCATGAATTTTGTCTCTATTCAACAATTCCTTACGTGAATCGCCATTGAAGTCGATGTCACAAACCTGAAATCAAATAGAGCGATGGCGTAATGATCAAGTATGGATAGAAGCATTAAAAGAAATAGAATAGAGTGATGTTTTCCTCCGACCAACACCATCGACAAACGCCATCATCATCATCTGTTTCCTTCGTATTTCTTTTTGACCAATCAAGGATCGAAGGAACCGACCTCCGTTTCTCTTTCTCGATAACAAATGGGAGGCCTCAAACTTTGATTTAAAGAGCCGATGAGGAATAATGTGCGATAGTCCTCCTCCCTCTTGTAACGCCCGTAGATCCGGACTAGTCAATTTTGAGGCAATAAGTGTCGAAAACGAATTTTCGGCAAAAGATTATTTATAATAAATAGTCTTAACCAAGTTGTAGTATATATTACAAGGTTTCCGTACATATAAAGAGCGCCGAAATCTGAGTTATAACGAAGAATTCATGACCCGTCGAAGTTTAGCGATGGAACCGACACGACACCGCGAAGTCGTAAATAGTGAATTTATGATAGAGCGACTTTTAGCCTTATTAATCTAAATGAAAGTTGTAGAATATGTTAACCTGAGAACGTCCATAAAAAGAACGCCCAAATCTGACTTCTTATGAGGAAGTTATGATTTTTCGAAGTTTCGGCTTAGCGGTGTACAACCCAAAGTTCGAGTCTTAGATCGAGCGGTTTTTAGCCGACACAACCTAAACGAGAATCGAATATCTCGTTATTATTAGTGTAACGATAAAAAGACAGACGAAAATGGACATCGGGTGAAGAAGTTATGAGATTTTAACGGACCAATCACGTCCCGGCCTGTTAAAAATATAACTTTAAAAATAAAGTCAAAATTAGCCGACAGAGTCTAAACGAAAGTTGTAGAGTACGTCTCCACCTACGCCTGGATATGAAGAACGTAAAAAACGGAGTTCGTATGAACGAGTTACAAATTATAATAGCATATTTACGTATTAAAATAAAGTATAAATCATATATACGTACACACACACACACACACATATATATATATATATATATATATATATATATATATATATATATATTAGAAAGGTATCGACGATGCGGTCATTATAAGACTAATGTTGAGTTCTTTCGAAATTAGTTTAGTACAAATATCATTAAATCCATTTAAAATAGTATTATAGAGGGGTGTTTAGTTGTTTATATAACTAAAATGTCATTAAGTAATTATGGAGGGTAGTTTTTGAAAATCAATTAGTATAAATAAGAGCATTGGGCTCTCACATTTCTTGCACCATTCTCTTGATTCAAGAGTCTTTCTCTCCTTATCCCCCGAGCATTTCGGTCCCTCGTGATTCGACTTCTCTTTCTGTAGTTTTTAGTATAGTAAGGTGAGCGCTGAAGCGCTGCACGCATCTTTCTTAGAAAGATTCAGCGACGAAGTTCTGCCCTTGCAGAGCCCGACTCCTAGCTAAAATCCCCTTGTGAGTAAGTTATGCTTACCCTATTTTAATATAGCTTATATTTATATGTAATATTGTTATTATGAACTTATAATAAATATTTGAGCTATTATTATGACTTTTATAAGTGTCGTTACAATATCTTTTTACTCGCAGTACGGGGAATCTGGTTTAAAGGGCCTCATAGGGTTGTTGGATTTCAGAAGTGCTATACGCCAAAATGGTCCTGCCCTCCGGTGTTTTATGTCTGTCCCCTGTCTGTACATAGTGGTTGGAAAGTATTGTTTAAACACTTATATAATAATAATAAGACTAATAATTAGTCACGGTAAATATTAGACTAAAATCTAGTGGTAATAATACTAGGTTTCGTCGAAAGAAATTATTTTAAAGTAAACGAAGCGCTGTCCGAGTACCGAGTCACCACCTTTTCAGGTGAGTGCATAGTTACTTTCATCTTACACATAGATATGAAGTATTTTATATAAATTACGTGCTATGTGTGCATATTATCTAAATACTTACTGTTTATGCTGGATGAACGATTTATACATGTTTTAAATGATTTAAACTGTATATGTATTTTATATCTACGATAATGTTGGGGTAAAACATGGGTAGATGTAATAGATGAAATATGAGTTTGATGATGAGTTGAGAGGTGTTATAGACCACGAGGTGAGGGTGAGAGGTGGACGATGTGAGAAGCCTTTTCCCAAACGATGGCCACGTCATTCAGCAAAGTATGGATGACAACCACAGACTATTCTAGACAGTCCAGTGGAACACTAGCATGCTCACAACCTGTAGGTGTTGTGAACGATGTATTCACCCGGTGTACTCTAAACCTTGGCGACCATGCAGACTTGGTGCCTAAACCTTGGCGATCATGCAGACTTGATGCCTAAACCCTGGTGACTATGCAGACTTAGTTCCTGTTTTGTAAACCGTGGCAACGATGGACTTCGTGTCGATTCCTTAGGATGATCCTTAAGAATAAATGAACGAGGAATAGCTGATTTTTAGGGTAGATCCTTAAGAATAAAGAAGATAATGGGGATGGGTAATTGGGTTGATTGCTTAATTGTTTAAACATAATAATTATATTATTGTGGGTTGAAAACCCTATGTACTCACCAGGTTTCCCAACCTGATCCACTCAGTTTATTTATATCACAAGTGTTGTTATGAAGTCACATTACACTGAGAGATTAAGGAGATATAAATCACTAGTGATAATGAATGTAAGTTCTGTTTATGCTTATGTTTCTATATTGACGATGACATCTCAAATGTTTTGAAATGAATAAAAATACCTTTCTTTGGAAATGCTTTGATAATGTATTTATCATGTTTTACTGGGAACAAATTCCACAACATTTTTATTAAAAGAGGCACTCTGATTTTCATAAAGCATAAACAAAATCGGTCTTTTCTGGCCGTGAAAATGGGGATGTCACACTCCCAGGGTGAACGTACACCGCTTTCCCGTACGCCGATTTGGATGGTGAATAAGCGTGGTACGATTTGACAATTCCAAACTCAGAACCTAACCCCGGATGAGTCAAGGGAAGAGGGACGACGGTACTGTTGTTGCTACAGTGGGCTCTGAGTGATGAGTGGAGGTGGTATGACAACATTATGAAATCGTCAGGTCCAGATGGTTGGTGATCGAAAAGGAGATAAAGAAAATGAAAACCTCCGATGGTGATTTCAATGACAAAATAGTGGAGGTCAGTATGAAGCTTCAAAGAGTAGATATCAGAGATCGAGATGTAGTCGGTGAGAAATATTTGCAAGGATTTTATTGGACAAAAGAAAGGTAGAATACAGAGAGAAACATGTAGAAGGAGAAGAAAGGATTAAAAGTAACACGTATTGGGAATGAATAGTAACGACACCGACCCATTATCAAAGGAAAAATACAGATTACAAAAACAAAAAAATTCGACCAATAAGATCAAAGTACTCTTCAATAAGGGACTTCAAAATTATAATCTATATATATAATTAGATATGGTTTTTTATATTGTAACCATTTTATATTATATTATATTATTTTTAACTTCAATATTTTGTGATTTTACTTATCTTTGTTTTTTATGGGATTTTCTAATATGTGCCTTAAGAAACATTAATTACGAAAAATATTACCATAATTAAATATAAAATGCATTTATTATGGAAATTATTAATGTATCTCATATTTAATTATGATGATAATCTTTTTAATTAATGTATTTCATATTTAATTATGATAATATTTGTTATAATTAATGTTTTTTTTTATATGTGTCCTTAGGGCACATGTTAGAAAATCCTTTTTTTTATTGCTATATACACATTCAAATAGAGAAAAACATATTGTAAAATTTGAAATTATTAGAGATGATGATACAGTTATAAGCATTGTGGTTTTTGATACTTAGTTTATGAAGATTTATCTTTTTTATTTTGGTTTCTTAACAAACATGAGAATTAATGTTTTTATTTTTTTATTTTTTTTAGTATCATTTTTACTTTCTTGTCTATGAGAATAAAGTATGATCTGTTGAATGTTTTAATTATGATGATTATTGTTATGTTTTTGTTTAATATTTATGAAATTTAATAAAAAAATTGGATACTTTTTACTAAACGGATATCCATCGGTTCTCTATATCCAAGGAGAGTTTTTATACTCGAACCAATGAGAGATTTAACGAGTCTTGGGGAAAGTACGAGTATGTGGATTCGAGTTTGGGTGTAGTTGTCCGGGGACAAGGATTGTAATCCCCACCAGTATCCACCCCGTTTACATCTCTAAAGTTGAGGGGGTATTTTGCCATTTCCAGAAAGTATCATTAAATTCATGAAAAACGTGTTTGGGGTAGTTTATGCCGTAAGATCAAAATACAAGGAAGGAAGGTAAAAATGTAGATTGTAAGCTTCTTGCCCACGTAACGGACGATTCCGACATTCCTACTCCCATAAAACCTCTACCTAAAACCCCGTTTCCCCTTTAATCGATACAGCTCTCTCTCGCTCTCTCGCTCGATTTCTCAGGCGATTTTCTTCTCGCCGGCGCCACCACTTCGACCAGGTAACCGCCATCGCCCCTGTTCCTCCGTCTACTCCTTCAACCTTTCTATCCGACGTTCTCCTTATGTCGATCCAGCCCCGATCGATTCAGTTTTCTCAATCTGTCATCGTCGATAGCAGGTGATTTCATCGCCGGTCTACCCTCTCACTTCCGGCGAACGGTGGTCCGGCGTTCTCTACTTCTTCAACAGGTAATGTTATTCGTGTACTGTGAAATTTGGCGAATATGATTTGTGCATTGTTTAATCAGATTTGGCTGTGCTTTGGCTGTGTTTTTTCTTAAATATTTTGTCTAAAATTCTAAATGTATTTGAACTTTGAAACTTTGTGAAACTTGAGGGTTATGTTTAGGGTTATTGATTTATGTCCATAGAAGCTGTGAAGTTCTTGGTTGTGTATGATTTTGTTAATCTGGACATTTTCTATTCTATTAACTGTTTGATTTTGTTAAACTGGAAAATTATTGTGTTTCAAGCATGTGTTCTAGTTTTGTCTATAATTTTTTTGGGAATTTAACAAATCAAGGGGAGATTTTGCATGACCAAAGAGCAAATGGATGCATCCGGTGATGGTTAGAAAACTCGACACCTGTTTCTGAAATTCTATTTTTAAATAAATAATGATTTTCTATTTTACTAACAAATTAATATTATTTATAACTTTTAATCAGATGATGTAAAGGTAGTACTACTGGACTTAAGCCATGATGACTCCTTGTCCAAAGCTGGTTTTGCACATGAGGTATTTATTCTATTAGATATATAGTTAAATATTTGTTTGGTGATTGATATATATATATATATATATATATATATATATATATATATATATATATATATATATATATATATATATATATATATAGGTGGTTAAATGTATCCAAGAATTACGTGAAATATCTGAACTTGAACCCACCTACCCAGTGGAGGTCTACTTCAAGTCCTTGGATGATGACACGTCAGCATCTGTCCAAATTTTAAAGTCTCAGGTCAAATTTTATCATCTCATTAATCATTATTAAAAATATTATGTTTATGGTTATTTATAACACATGTAATTAATTTTCATATTATGCAGGAAGCATACATCAAAGAGGCGATATGTTCTCCTTTACTAGACTCTACCTTCATTCCCGAACATGCTGTAAGATTTCACACACTAACACACACATGCTTTATGTAATATTTATTACTTGTGATGTTGTATTATAAATTAAATTGATATTTAATTTATTATGAATATTGAATTTAATACTAATTATTCTTGGGAATTTGCAGGTAGTGATTGCTGAGAAAACGTATCGCAACATTTCAAATTGTGATTTTGAGATCACTTTGACAAGACAAACATTAACATTTTACGATAAAGCAATCCTTGATTTATATTCAGGTCATCTCGTTTGCTCCTTTTTTATATGAGTTTCTTAATAAACTTTTATATTATTATTATAATATTATGTATTTTAAATATGATTATGAAACCATTTTACAACAATGACAATAAGTCAATAAGAATATAACAGTTACTTTTGTTGTGTATAGGAAATGCGAAATATGCAAATGCATTGAAGGTGTATTTGTTGTCCAGGGACCACTTCAATCTCAAAACAGAATTTCTTGTGGGAATTAATCAGGTGGGTTTATCTTCAAAAACAAAAATGCGTTATTTTGTTTATTATTTTTATTTCTAAAGTTATTAGCAATTAATCAGTTTTTATTGTTGTGACAGATTAAAGTGGATTGCATTGAAGGTCTGCCTGATGTTGATGTTGTGTTGGGAGAGCACGTGTTCTTAACAGTTGGGGATTATTACTCCCAAACCACCAACAACAAATCTTGACCATAAGTTCTTTTGATTAAAAAAAATGTTGATTTTTATGAAGAAGATGGAACTAGGAAGATAGCATTTAGGGACAATGACTTATGTGGGTAACGAAGTATTAAAATTGTTCAAAAAAAAAAAAAAAATACTATTTATGTTTAGTAAGTATAAAATTACCAGTCTAACTGTTGCTTTTTTTACACATAATACCATCCAAGTACATCACTTGTTCAAAATACATCTTATGGAAAAGAATTAGACCAAGCACTCTTTGATTTTGAAGGACTAATGACATTTACAAGATAATACTTGTGATTATAATTACAAAATAGTTTGGTTTTTTTTCTTGGGGTGGGATAGTGTGACATCCGTCGAAACTCGGGTTAGTATCCAATTTGATCCTCACAACTTTCATGTGTATACATAGCTAATTCTAGATGCTATATTAGAATTATGTCCCGACACAATAGATATCTCAGAACAATTAGTTAGGACTTAGTTTACGCTGAACCTTGACATGGATATATGAATACATCAACTAGGTTATAAAGTGCCAAAGTTCGGTCTTAAAACTAAACACAAAACCATGTTAGTAGATCAAAGTTCAAGGAAAAGTTAAATACCCTAATTACCTGGTTGGAACCTATGAAGTGCTTACCTAGTTTAAGTATTTAACAAACTTAAATTAATTAAATAATAATATGATTTAGTTACAAGTTGGAATTATTGTCAACACAGCATAATTCAAACATTCATCTAATCAAACATTCTCATTTTATAAACTCTTATTTCATGTAACATCTAGATCCCTAAGATACTTAACTTCTTGAATTTTTAGCCTTTCGGAAGAGGGTCACGGTGTGAGATATGGTGGTCATGTCGTGAGTGACCATTGACTTGTTGACCCACATTTTATGGTCTCACGATGTGAGGTATGAAGCCTCATGACGAGAGAACAACATGATGATCCAAAACCCTAATGCTTGAATATTTAAGGGAATGAAAGGGCTAGGGTTGCCCATCCTCAGCCTCTTGAAAACCCTAATCTCGACCTGTTTGAAGTCTTTAACCATTTTTGGTGACCTTGAAGAACTTATTTGGTGGTCTTTGGCTCATTGAAGTGGAAGGAGACTTTAGTGTAGCATTCTCTTAACAATCCAACTTCTACCTCACCTTCTTGCAAAGCTTTTGGACCTTTTTAAGTCATAAAGCTCTGGTTTTTTTCATCTCTTGCATGCTAGATCTAGGTTTAAGCTCCTTTTTGCTTGGTTGAGTTGGATAACATGCATGGGATCCACAAAGTTGACAACTTTATGGATCATTGAGGCAACTTTTGTATTATAATATTTGGATATGAGTTTTAGAGTTGGATTTTGTGACATCCCCAATTTCTCGGCCAGAAAAGACCGATTTGTTTATGCTTTGTTTTTAAAATCAGAGTAATCTTTTAAAGAAAACAGTTGCGGAATTTGTTCCCAAAACAAAATATGATAAAAATTATCAAAGCATTTTTTTAAAGAAATGTATTTTCATTATATAACAAAATCTCGGGATGTCATGTTCCGATACAGACACATAAGCATAAACAGAACTTACATTATTTATGTTGGATTAGTGTCTAAGTCCATAACTATTTTGGTATGTACTTGACCCGATGGTGCATGGTCCTTTTGGGTTGCCTTCACCAAAGCAACTTGATAGGATGAATTATGGAGAGCAAGGATTAAATATGATTTATTAATATGTTATGGGAATAATATATTAAAGGAGAAATCATATTGTTTAATTAATATTAGTCAATAATTAATTGGTAATTAGTTTTGTGACTAAAAGAGATTAATTAAACTTACGGGACTGGAATTGTAATTATAAGATAATTGCAATTTGGGCCATGGATTGCCTTGTATTAAAGGATGGACGAATTCTAATGGGAAACCCATAAGGAAATCGTCCATGGGCTTAATTAAAGGAGTCTATGGGTTGCTTAGGGCTTAAGTATCCAAATTAGGGTTTCCTTGTTAGATAACCCTAATAGCCCAACTATATAAAGACCCCTTAAGGCTCAAAAACGTGGCTTATGTTCTTGTAAGGGTTTACACACGTTTTTGGCAGCCTCCAACCTCTCTCCTCTTCATCCTCTTGCTTATGGTGTTTGTGAACCATTAGAGGAGTGACACTTGTGACTCTAAGCCTTCCAAAGTCAATACAAGGAGGAATTGGGATTGTTATTGCTATATAACAATCAAGGTATGATCTTAAACCTAATTACATATTAATATGATTACTTGAATGCTAGAATTAGGGTTTATAGTCTTGGATTCAAAGCATGTACAATAGAGAAACCTAGATCCGAGCATTAGGGTTTGTATGAGCACATAGGATGTCTTATGACCAAAACCCATCAGTGGTATCAGAGCATAGCTTGGTTTCAATTGTATTGATGCATTGTATAACTGAAAAATTCGATTTTTTGGATTGTGGAGGCTGGACTCGCCGAGTCCATGGCTGAACTCGACGAGTCGATGCCTGACTCGACGAGTCAACTCGTCAGATAATGTTTATCTCGGGATTTCTTGCTGTTTTTGCATATGGATAGTTACCTTATCATGTTAGATCAATATAAATCCGATTTTATGATATATATGACTATATTGTTGATCTAATTAAAGATATTTATCAATTAACTAGATAATTGTTTCCTTATAAGATAATTGATTAATTATTTTGAGTAAATTGATAAATTGATTTGCAAGAAATCATTAAACAAATAAAATATGGATAATTATGTAACTAAATGTTAGTTTAGATTATTTGTTATTTGATCCTTGTTGTTATGAAAAGTTTCATATTTTCCCTTTAGGTTTTATAGTTTAAATTTGAACCCAAAAGTTTTGAAGTTTTGAAATTTAAATAGTTAAAACCCTAATGTTTTGAAATGTTTCAAAACTTGCCATCAAGTTTTGGAATTTAAAAGTTGATTAAAAGTTTAATTAGGAATGTTAAATTCTAAAACCCTAGTAATGTTTTGAAAAGTTCAAATCACACCCTTATGGTTTTATTAATTAATTAAGGAGTATAATTAAAAGAGATTTAATAAATCCATAAAGGTTTAGGTTAACCATTTAATTGAATTAAAAGTGTAATTGTTAAAGTTAACCATATAGTATTTTAAAAGTATAAAATACACCCTATACTATATATAAGATTAAAAGTCTAACATTATATATATGTATGAGTAAAAGTCAGTCTTACCGTTAGTAGGCCTCATTCACGAAGCTGGTCTATAAGGGGTGTTTAAGGAAATTGCCTATAAAATGGCGATTGAATGGGTATCCACTCTTACCCACCGCACTCTTGACTAGTGGAGGGTCGTTAGCCGAACGGGTAGGATAGGACGAAACCTTCCATTATAAGTATAATGAAATACAAAGTAACTAAATGTTTTTCAAATTCCCAATCTTAGTTACTTAGGCAAAAGTGAATTGATGCAATTCCATGAAATTACACTTTGTGCCCTTGCGAAGACGTTAGTGGAGCGTGTGTGGTTTACCGGCACACTAAATGGTTCTGAGCAAAGGTAGCAAAGGGTGACTCAATGTTTGTCATAGTTCGGTGGAGCGTGTGTGGTTTACCGGCACATCGAATAGGTGATTGTAACATGTGAGGGCACCATGTAGTTTGCATGGTTATTCACACCCGCTTTGTGATCCTCGGCATCCCAGTCACAAACTAGAGGGGCATATCGAGATTTAAACATGCCATTGAAATGTTCAATGAATCTCAAAGGATCTAGGAGTTTTCATAGATTTAAAACTTAAATTTCTTTTTCGTTTTTCATGGTGGAAATTAGTGAATCGTCATTCACTTACCTTCAAATGTTCTGCAATTTGGGTTACGACATCCCTCTCCCGAGTTGTAGGATATTGTGTTGGGTCCTAGCCTTGGAATTTCATTTGGGTGATTTACCAAGGACTCAATCAATCAACTAACTTGAATTCGTTTTTCTCCCGATGTCAAAGTTCGACAACTATGGTCTTCTCAAATCCCGTGGAACAAGCATTCCACATGAAGATGATATTCCACGATTCGATCGAGGAACAAGAAATCATGCTTCACTTCCTCCTCCTCCTCCAATTATTCTCCCTAACCCACAAGATTGTAAAATTGAAAGGTTCAATATCACTCAAGCCCTTTTGGCAAGTAAACATAAAGAGGGAAAGTCGGTGTGTGCACACGTCTTAGGGATGAAGTCACACATTGATAGATTAAGAATGATGGGATCCGTTGTCGGTGAAGCGATGGCTGTTGATTGGGTTCTTCGGTCACTTCCTAACTCATATAGTGAGTTCGTAAGAGATTACTATATGATGAACCGCGACGTGACCCTTATAGATCTCACCTATATGCTTATTGCTGCTGAATCAGCAATGGTTTGGCGCAATAGAAAAGAAAAGTTGATTGGTGAATCTGCCTTCAAGACCTCTATGGATATAGACAATGGAAATGAAAGACATGCAATGATCAAAAAAGTTTGATCATAAGAGAAAGGCGATGTCTGAGGTAGTTCCATGTGTTGTTCCAAAGGAGTCAATTTGCTTTTATTGCCAAGAGAAGGGGCATTGGAGACAAAGTTGCCCTATTTACCTAAGAGATCTAAGAGATGGGAGAGTCAAAAGTATGACTACGCTTTAGGTAAGAATCCACTATCTAACTCCATTAAGTTCCCATTCATTGGTTCTTAATACATGATGTGATAAGATTGCATTTGAATGTTTTGAAGGATCGGTGAAAAGAAAGGAGCTTGATAAGAGAGCAAGATGAATCTAATCACAAGTGATGGATCTCGATCTCATGGACTTGAAGATTGGATTTTGAGCTTAGATAGTTATGATAGAGTTGTTAGAAATTTTCTTTTACATAGTTTTCAATAGATTTTGCATTGTAAGGACAAATGTTTTTCCGCTGCTTTTAATAAATAAAATAAATTTTGGTTTGACTTATTTATTTGTTTACTTCCTTGCAATGAAATCGTTATGAAAATTGATGTTTGCA